TGAGAATAAAATAATAAATTGATAAAATAAAATAACACAATAATATTCTCACGACGTTTCGGCCACAACACAAGCGGCCTTCGTCAGGTGAAGGGACGAGACTGTCTGGAGGACAGCGCTGTCCTGATCCTGTGTTATGTGTGGCAGGGAGTGGTGGCGCAGTGGTTCACGCACTGCACATCGGTGACAAATATCTGAACCCGTCCTGGGCCTACCCTAGGTCGATGGAGGACAGCGCTGTCCTCCAAACAGTCTCGTCCCTTCACCTGATGAAGGCCGCTTGTGTTGTGGCCGAAACGTCGTGAGAATATTATTGTGTTATTTTCTTTTATCAATTTATTATTTTATTCTCATTCTACGTGACTTTACCGAAAGAACCAAAGAAGACGAATCCTTACAGTCACGAAAGCTTTAAATCGAAAGTGAACACGCCTTTTGAGTGTATTGTGCGTGGTGCATGCGATAAGCAATGCAATGCTTGCTGTGGCGATGCACGTGTGGCCGATGTGTTTGCGCGACGTGTGCGAGCTGCGATGTTAATGAATGCATGTGTCTGTGGTGTGTTAGGGCGCGGCAGGGTGGCGCAGTCGGGTAACACTCTTGACTCGCAGCAAGAAGGGCCTGAGTTTGATTGCCGACTCGGGGCCCCTAAATGCGTGGCGGGAGTACGTCCTCTCGCTATTCCTCTTCTGTTCAGCATGGGGTTTCCTCGAGGGTCTTCGCTTTCCCCCCCCCGTGGCTACAAAGAACAAACGATGCAGCGTGACCGGTATTGGTCAAAACATCCCAACGCTCAAAGAAGTTTTGTGTGAGCGATATGTGCGTGATGTGATGTGTAGGATGTGATGTGTGTGATGTGTATGATATTATTTGTTTGATTTGATCGACGTGGTGTCGGTGGACGTGATGCGAGTCGTGTCTGTGCTGTGCGAGATCTGACTTGATGTGTGCGGTCTCTTTTATTATTTTCTTTCTGCTTTGTTTACCCACAAAGGCCTCGCCGGAGTCTCAAGACTCATTTAAAGGGAGGGTCATGCCAAGTTTTCGCATTGGGGAAAAGGGTGGTGGGGTGATGTTCCTGCTGCACCATCCCAGTTGAGTCATTTGCAGGTCATTTTGTTCAGCATTGGGGTGTTTTGACCAAATGCCGAGAGACTCCACGCACACAAACTCCACTTATCACTCACACACTCACTACAGAACAAGGGTAGAACACACAAACTCCACTCACTCACACACTCACTACAGAACAAGGGTAGAACACACAAACTCCACTCACTCACACACTCACTACAGAACAGGGGTAGAACACACAAACTCCACTCACTCACACACTCACTACAGAACAAGGGTAGAACACACAAACTCCACACTCATACACTGACTACAGAACAGGGGTAGAACACACAAACTCCACTCACTCACACACTCACTGCATAACATGTGTAGAGAACACACAAACTCCACTCACTCACACACTCACTACAGAACAGGGGTAGAACACACAAACTCCACGCACTCACACACTCACTGCATAACATGTGTAGAGAACACACAAACTCCACACTCTCACACTCACTACAGAACAGGGGTAGAACACACAAACTCCACTCACACACTCACTGCAGAACAGGTGTGGAGAACACACAAACTCCACTTATCACTCACACACTCACTAGAGAACAAGGGTAGAACACACAAACTCCACTCACTCACACACTCACTGCATAACATGTGTAGAGAACACACAAACTCCACTCACTCACACACACTACAGAACGGGGGTAGAACACACACACTCCACTTATCACTCTCACTGCAGAACAGGGGTAGAACACACAAACTCCACTCACTCACCACAGAACAGGGTGAGAGACTACTCACACAGTCTGCAATCGAACCCAGGAACTTCTTTCTGAGAGGCAGAACTGTCACCACTATACCACCCTGCCTCCGATGTGGTGTGTGTATGCGATTCCTGTACGTGGGGTGTGTGTGACGTATATGTTTTGTGTGTGCCTCTATGTATTATTTGCAGTGTTTGGTGAACATGTCATGCGTGTGTGTGTGTGTGCGCATTTTGAGTGATGTTGTGATCTGTGAGTGGGTGGTATTTCTGTGTTGGGAGCGGTAGTGTAGTGGTTAGTGCACTGTGCTCCAACCCTGGCGACCTAAGTTCGATTCCCGCTCACGGCCAGCACCGGTGACAATCACCTCAACTTGTCCTGAGCCTCTCCTAGGTCGACTCGGCCTCAAACGAGTACCTGGGGAGACAAAGGCGGCCGTGCGTGGTTCTCGCCAAACCACTCCGTCATGTGGTGCGCCGTGCCAGCCTTCATAGGTGCCCGCAAACAGCACTCTCGCCAACAGTCGGTCTCTCTGGATTCCGTCTGTGTCATGTGCGTGCATGGCGTGCGTGCGATCCGTGCGTCTGTGTGCGTCCCCTCCGTGGTTCGACGCGACCGCGGTGGCACGCGCCCGCCCTCCCCCCTCCTCGCCCCGGCATCACTCGTGCCCTCCCCCCCCCGCGCACGCGCTTACGCACGCGCGCACGCACGCACGCGCGCACGCACGCACGTGCATCTGATGTCCACGTCCAGAGATCCACTGTGCTCCCACGTTGGCTCAGGCGTGGCAGTGGCAGCAGCTGCGGTGATTGTGCCGCGTGCAGTCGGGTGGGTGGGTCGGGGATGGAGTCGCAAGTCCCTCTCCTCCTCCCCCGCCCACCCCTCGCTCCCTCGCATCTCCCTCTCTCTCTCTCCTCTGCGGGTGCCTTCGCTCTACGGCGTTCACCGCGCCCGCCCCTCGTAACCTCCTGAGCCTCGTTCGCGCCCCCCCTCCCCTCTCCGCACGCCTCCCCTATTCAGCCGTGTGGCCGCGTGCGTGCGTGCGTGTCGTTACGCGCGTGTAGGTGCGTGCGTGGGGAGCGGTGGTGCCACGGTTAGCGCTGCGCTCCGAACCCGGCAGGGACCCGACTTCGGTTCCCGCTCACGGCCAACACCGGTGACGAGTGTCTGAATTGGTCCTGGGCATCCCCTAGGTCGACTCGGCCTCAAATGAGTACCTGGTGCGGCGTGTAAACATCGCCGCTGGGGAGACAAAGGCGGTCGGGCGTGGTGCTGGCCACCCACCCCCTCGCGTGCCGTGCCGGCCTTCAAAGGTGCTCGCTTACAGCGCTTGCCCCTACAGTCTGTGAAGGCTACACGAGGCATCTTTGTTCTTTGTCCGTGCTTGAGTGTACGTGTTGTCTGCCTGTGAGTGCGCATGCTGTCTGCGTGTGTTTTCCGAGTGTGCGTGTTGTCTGCGTGTGAGTGTGTGTTGTCTGTGTGTGAGTGTGCGTGTTGTCTGCGTGTGAGTATGTGTGTGAGTGCTCGTTGTCTACGTGTGAGTGTGTGTGTTGTCTCTGTGTGAGTGTGCGTGTTGTCTGCGTGTGTGAGTGCGTGTGTGAGTGCGCGTGTTGTCTGCGTGCGTGAGTGCGCGTGTTGTGTGCATGCGTGAGTGCGCGTGTTGTGTGCGAGGGCTACAGCCGCCCTCCTCCCCCTGGCTGCCCAGTGTGGTGAGCCAGGGTAATGAGGCCTTACATTAGATGGTGTGTAATGAGAGCCTCTCGGCGCGCGGGCGAACGGCTCGTGACAAATAGCCAATTCGCGCGAGAGCCGCGTGGGATGGCAAGGCAGAGCCGGCGTGTGCCAGTGTGTGTGTGTGTGTTGTATTTCGGGGAGCGGTAGCGCAACGGTTGCCGTGCTGCGCTACGAACCCCGGCGGCCCGGGTTCGACCGCCGCTCACGGCCAACAACCGGTGACGATCGTCTGAACCGTTCCCGGGCTTCGCCTAGGTTGACTCAACCTCAAATGAGAACCTGGTGCGGTGCGTAAAAGCATCGCCACTCGGGAGACAAAGACGTCCGGGCGTGGTGTTGGCCCACCCACCCTATCGTGTGCTGTGCCGGCCTTCATCGGCCCTACTCGCTAACAGCACTTGCCCCAACAGTCTGTGTGGGCTATACGGGGGTACTTTGTCTTCGTGGCAGTGTGAACGTGTGTGTGCGTGTTTGCGTGGCAGCGTGTTTGTTGGCGCGCGTGTCGCGTGCTCGTCGCGTGCTCGTGTGTGTGCGCGTGCGTGTGTGTCATGCTCACTAACGGTTAGTGCCCCTGTACAACAAGTAATCTCATAAGAGTGTGCATGAAAGTACGCCTGTTCCTGTCCCCCCTCTGTCCCCCCCCCCCCGCCGGAATGAGCAAGCAGTGGGGCGGCAGCAGTGTGAGGGCCCTTTTGAGTCGGTGGCCTCAACGATAGTGCAGGCCACACGCTCGGCTCTGAGCCGTGGTGGCCTGGACAAGGCCGAGAGGATTTTGACACGCAACGCGGCGGTGGTCACGTGACGTGTGTACGATCCCTGGGGTACTGGGTTCGAATCCGCGTTTCAGCTGCCCGCAATTAAACCGGGTCCTCGAGCGATGGTGAGCTGCGCCCTTCCGCTTGCCGTGATTTCTGCCGCGGGCTCAATCGGCACGATACAACTGGCCGAGCCTCGTACGCTGACCCAAAATCACCGCGGGCTTATGCCGTACCCACCTTGGCAGTCTCTGGCGCCCACATTCGCGCCCCCCGCCAGGCCTTTGGCCTAGTCTCGGAAACCTCTTAACGTGCGCTGGGCGCCGCTGGTGTGTTTGTGTGTGTGTGTGAACGTGCGGGGAGAAGGCGTAGAGTAGTTAGCACACTGTGCTATGAACGCGGCGACCAGAGTTGCTGGGTCTTGGGCCCTCCCCGAGGTCAAATTAGCAACCTCAAATGAGTACGCGGTGCGTCGTGCGAATAACTCGGCACTGCAACGACAACGGCGACCGGGCGTGGTGCTGGCCACTTTAACCCCCTCGTGTGCCCTGGCCTGCCTGCATAGGTGCTACCCGCGAACAGCACTTGGCCCAGCGGGTCTCTTAAAGGCTACACGGTGGGGCGGGGTGGCGCGGGCTCTGTGTGCGTCCGTGCGCGCGTGCAGAGTGCTCGAACGCGTTCGGGCTCGTGGTGCACCCCCCCACGGAGAACGAAGATCACCTGTTCACGTTCCAGCTGCTGGCGGAGGTGGGGACCTCGCACAAGGCCGAGTGGCTCAAGACCTTGAGCCGGCAGGTGGCCAACACCATTTGCAAGCCCGACGCGGTGAGTCGATGCTCGCGCTTTGGTCGCGGCGTGCAGTGGCGATGCGGAGTGGATTTTTGTGGCGCCGATGATCAAATCCCCGCCCATGGTTGCTCGGGGGGGGGGGGGGGTCAGAGGGCATAGCCGTCCCGGGGTTCAAATCCAGGTTTCAAAAATCTGACAGGTGATGATCTGGTTGAACACGTAGGCTTTCGCTACCAATATATTTGTGATGAAGCTTTTTTTTTTGGGGGGGGGTGGGGGTTCTGGATCACGTAAATGTTACCGTGTCGGACACCCACCTTCACCTGACACGGCCAATCGGGAAGGTTTTACCAAAAAACAAGAAGGCGTCTTCACAAATCTGGCAATCGCCTGTTGGTGCTGATTGTCATCGCCAGCGAAACGTTGTACTCGGTTGTAAATGTTGTTACATTCGCTCTCCAACACTCACAACTGGCGGTGCTGAAGTTGCAACTAATTGGCACGTTCTGTTCGCTGATCGGCCGTGTCGGGTGGAGGTGAGTGCACGACACATTTACGAGATCTCGAACCCAAATACCGCGAAGTAACGATCAATTTCCTGAACGGAATCGCGACCGACCCAGAATCTAATAATAGGGTTTTTCCCCTTTTTTCTGACAACAAAATGGAAACCTTTTTACGAGGATTCATGTCTGCATTAACCACAATACCTGCAGTCAAAATGCAAACAAAAAACATACTATGATAATATATGCATTGTCCTTGAAACTGATTGGTCCACACCAAGAGACGGCTTTTTTTAGCCTCGACCCAATTGGTGCTCGACCAGATGACGCCATCTCGACCAGATGACGCCATCTGGTCGAGCACCAATTGAGTCGAGGCTCAAAAGAAAGCCGTCCCTTGGTGTGGACCAATCAGTTTCAAGGACAATGCATATATTATCATAGTATGTTTTTTGTTTGCATTTTGACTGCAGGTATTGTAGTTAATGCAGTAACATGAATCCTTGTAAAAAGGTTTAAGTTTTGTTGCCAGAAAAAAGGGGAAAAACCCTGTTATTATATTTTGGTACTGGCAAAGGAGGTCTAATGATGATGTAGATGCTCGACCTAGAATCATGACGATCCGTGGAATCCGTCGCATTCTGACGAATGCATTCATCTGCTTCCAGCCGTCGTCTGCCGGCGATCGCCGCCAGACGGCCAAGGGTGCCTGGCCGCCGTCAATTCACAACTTTTAATCGCCGTTCACAAAAATCGGCCGTCTCATCTCTGCGACGCGGCCGCACGAAAGAGGAATGAGGATGGACGTACAGTGAGGGAAAAAAGTATTTGATCCGCTGCTGATTTTGTACGTTTGCCCACTGGCAAAGAAATGATCAGTCTATAATTTTAATGGTAGGTTTATTTGAACAGTGAGAGACAGAATAACAACAAAATCCAGAAAAACGCATGTCAAAAATGTTATAAAGTGATTTGCATTTTAATGAGGGAAATAAGTATTTGACCCCCTCTCAATCAGATTTCTGGCTCCCAGGTGTCTTTTATACAAGTAACGAGCTGAGATTAGGAGCACACTCTTAAAGGGAGTGCTCCTAATTTCAGCTTGTTACCTGTATAAAAGACACCTGTCCACAAAAGCAATCAATAAATTAGATTCCATACTCTCCACCATGACCAAAGAGCTCTCCAAGGATGTCAGGGACAAGAATGTAGACCTACACAAGGCTGGAATGGGCTACAAGACCATTGCCAAGCAGCTTGGTGAGAAGGTGACAACAGTTGGTGCGATTATTTGCAAATGGAAGAAACAAAAGAACTGTCAATCTCCCTCGGCCTGGGGCTCCATGCAAGATCTCACCTCGTGGAGTTGCAATGATCATGAGAACGGTGAGGAATCAGCCCAGAACTACACGGGAGGATCTTGTCAATGATCTCAAGGCAGCTGGGACCATAGTCACCAAGAAAACAATTGGTAACACACTACGCCGTGAAGGACTGAAATCCTGCAGCGCCCGCAAGGTCCCCATGCTCAAGAAAGCACATATACATGCCCGTCAGAAGTTTACCAATGAACATCTGAATGATTCAGAGGACAACTGGGTGAAAGTGCTGTGGTCAGATGAGACCAAAATGGAGCTCTTTGGCATCAACTCAACTCGCCGTGTTTGGAGGAGGAGGAATGCTGCCTATGACCCCAAGAACACCATCCCCACCGTCAAACTTGGAGGTGGAAACATTACGCTTTGGGGGTGTTTTTCTGCTAAGGGGACAGGACAACTTCGCATTAAAGAGACAATGGACAGGGCCATGTACCATCAAATCTTGGGTGAGAACCTCCTTCCCTCAGCCAGGGCATTGAAAATGGGTCGTGGATGGGTATTCCAGCATGACAATGACCCAAAACACACGGCCAAGGCAACAAAGGAGTGGCTCAAGAAGAAGCACATTAAGGTCCTGGAGTGGCCTAGCCAGTCTCCAGACCTTATTCCCATAGAAAATCTGTGGAGGGAGCTGAAGGTTCGAGTTGCCAAACGTCAGCCTCGAAACCTTAATGACTTGGAGAAGATTTGCAAAGAGGAGTGGGACAAAATCCCTCCTGAGATGTGTGCAAACCTGGTGGCCAACTACAAGAAACGTCTGACCTCTGTGATTGCCAACAAGGGTTTTGCCACCAAGTACTAAGTCATGTTTTGCAGAGGGGTCAAATACTTATTTCCCTAATTAAAATGCAAATCAATTTATCAAATTTTTGACATGCGTTTTTCTGGATTTTTTTGTTGTTATTCTGTCTCTCACTGTTCAAATAAACCTACCATTAAAATTATAGACTGATCATTTCTTTGTCAGTGGGCAAACGTACAAAATCAGCAGGGGATCAAATACTTTTTTCCCTCACTGTAGCACCGGTACAACGCTGCAAACGAGGCGGCCGGACGCGACCAAATAACAGTTTGGTCACTCGCAGGGAAAACACGACCTTACCAGGAATCGTGACGAGCCATCCAATCCCCGGGACTGCGGAGTTCCGTGGCCAGTGCGAGCAACGTCCGGCCGTTTCGAATACAATCTTCTTATCCCTGGCATCCATTCCCGCTCGTGTCAGCCCCTCCCCTCCCCTCCATCATCCACCACCACTAACCCACGCACTATTCCTGTCCTGGGCCATTCCCCCATCCGACTCTACATCCCCGTCGTATCCTTGGGGACGGGTGCATTATTCGCTAATTGAGCCGAGGCCTCGAAGCCTCTTCATTGCGGCGGTGAGGGGTGGATGGGGGAAGGAGGGGGGGGGGGCAGTTATGGGGGGAGGGGGGGCGGTGGCGGTGGCACTCGGCCGTCTGGCTCGTTGAGCGTCGCCACGCGGCGCGAGCCGGCCACGCGAGCGTCCGATCCGGCGCCCGGGGGTTCGGTTTCGCGAACCGAATCGCGGCGACCGCTTTGCCCGCTTCTGAGCGAGCGGTTGCCCAACGAGGACTCGCCCGGGCATGCGTCCGAATCGCTGCGTTGTCGCAAGCCCGCCGGGCACTACCGCTGGGAATCTGGAGTCCATGGCAGGGTTGGTCTCTGTGGATGGGCAGGGTCCGTGTCAGTTTGGCTTGTCTATGTGAATGAGCATGGTTAGTCTTTTTGAATGTGCAGGATTAGTGTTGTAGTGTTGGTCTATGTGAATGTGCAGGGTCGGTGTTAGTCAGTGTGAATGTGCAGGGTCGGTGTTAGTTCATGTGAATGTGCAGGGTCGGTGTTAGTGTGAATGGGCAGGGTCGGTGTTAGTTCATGTGAATGGGCGCGGTCGGTGTTAATGTGAATGGGCGCAGGGTCCGTGTTAGTGTGAATGTGCAGTGTCGGTGTTAGTGTGAATGGGCATGGCTCAGCAGGATCCACGTCGTGCGTTGTAGGGGGACACCCACGCCTCATTTGCTCTCGGTCGCCATTCCCCGCCACCCCGAACCCTTGCCATCTCGGCCTGCGTGCGTGCTCGCACGCGTCCCTGCGTTTGAGCGCGGTCGTCAGTTTGTGCGCGCGTGAGCAGAGCGCGCGTGGGCAGGTGCGCACTTGTGAGCACACGCTCGCTCGCTCGCTCGCGCATCGTCTGATGACACGCGCTCGATCGAGCACGCGCACGTGTCGGCGGCCGGCGTTTGCGTATGCGCTCGCACGTGCAATTCGAATGCAGATCGAGAGATTTAATTGGTGGGAAACTTGGTAAATTATCACCCTCGGAGCACGTGCAATTTCTCACACTCGGTCGCGAAGAACGGTTATTGGTTCTAATTGGTCGCGGTTAGGTTGTACCGCCGCCGCCCTACCGAGGGCTGTCTATGTTCGGGGGGGGGAGGAGGAGGGGAAACTAAAATTAACGCTTCCAGTCGATGGATGAGAATCGGAATGAGGGTGTGGGTCCCTTTCGCTAAACGGGGGTGTAGTGGACCGGAGCGTTTACCCCGAGCGCTCGCGCTCGTCCCCCCGTGAACGCGAGTCGCAGGGGCGGATGCTCGCTAAGTCGCCGCCCGCTCGGTGCTTGGCGATCCTGAACCGTGCGTCGTCCCGGCTCGCTGTGCTTGTGAACGGCCGCCCGAGTACGGTTACACTCGCTCCGTGCGGCGGCGGTAGTCGGAGTAGATGCGGTGCAAAACAGAAGGGGTACGGCAAAGCGGGAAACCGCACGAGGAGGCAGCCTGCCTGCCGAGTAGCGCGCACAGTACACGCGCACACACAGTACATACGCAGTACGCACACACACTCAGTACACGCGCACACACGCAGTACACATACAGTACACGCGGTACACGCAGTAGACACACAGTACACGCGCACACATGCAGTACACACGCACACACGCAGTAGAAGCACACAGTACACACACAGTACACGCACATAAACAGTACACACACAGTACACGCACATAAACAGTACACGCACAGTACACACACAGTACACGCACAGTACAAGCCCAGTTACAAACGCTGTACAATGTTGTCCCACGTCCGACCGCATAGCCCCGTCTGAGTTCATTCAAACCGCATAACAGAGGCGAATATTGAGTAGAAGTTTGTTAAAGCAACGTGCTGCGAACCCGGGTGACATCACTGGCGATTTGTGAACCAGTGCTGGGCCCTCCCCTAGGTCGATTCGGCCTTAAACGGGACGCGGTGTGTAAACGTGGAGCGCTCAGGAGACGGCCCGGGGGTCCCGTGTTTACACCACGTGTCTGTACACCGCTGCACTCGCCTTCATGGCTTCTCACTGACGGCACTCTGCCCAATGGTCTGCGTAGGCTACACGGGGGGTCTGTATCTGTGTGTGTATCTGTGTGTTTGTGTATCTATGTGTGTGTCAGGCGTAGGCGACACGGGGGATCTGTGTGTTGTATCTGTGTGTTTGTGTGTCTCTGTGTGTGTGTCAGGCGTAGGCTACACAGGGGGTCTGTGTCTGTATCTGTGTGTGTGTATCTGTGTGTGTGTATCTGTGTGTTTGTGTGTCAGGCGTAGGCTACACAGGGGGTCTGTGTCTGTATGTGTGTGTGTATCTCTGTGTTTGTGTGTCAGGCGTAGGCTACACGGGGTGTCTGTATCTGTGTGTGTGTCAGGTGTAGGCTACACGGGGGGTCTGTGTTTGTATCTGTGTGTTTGTGTATCTATGTGTGTGTCAGGCGTAGGCTACACGGGGGATCTGTGTTTGTATCTGTGTGTTTGTGTGTCTCTGTGTGTGTGTCAGGCGTAGGCTACACAGGGGGTCTGTGTCTGTATCTGTGTGTGTGTATCTGTGTGTGTGCCAGGCGTAGACTACACAGGGGGTCTGTGTCTGTATCTGTATGTGTGTATCTGTGTGTTTGTGTGTCAGGCGTAGGCTACACGGGGGTCTGTGTCTGTATCTGTGTGTGTGTATCTGTGTGTTTGTGTGTCAGGCGTAGGCTACACAGGGGTGTCTGTATCTGTGTGTTTGTGTATCTCTGTGTATGTGTCAGGTCTAGGCTACACGGGGGGTCTGTGTCTGTATCTGTGTGTGTGTATCTGTGTGTTTGTGTGTCAGGCGTAGGCTACACGGGGGGTCTGTATCTGTGTGTTTGTGTATCTCTGTGTGTGTGTGTCAGGCGTAGGCTACACGGGGGGTCTGTGTGTGTATCTGTGTGTGTATCTGTTTGTGTATCTGTGTCTGTGTGTGTATGTGTGTGTATCTGTGTGTGTGTCTGTGTGTGTATCTGTGTGTGTATCTGTATCTGTGTGTGTATCTGTGTGTGTGTCTGTGTGTGTGTCTGTGTCGCAGGAGAGTCTGATTTGTCCGATCAACCCGGTCGCGATCGACGTGAGCACACGTGCGGTGGACAGCACGCTGAGCCGCGCCTCCCGTGCCATCAAGAAGACGTCCAAGAAGGTGTCGCTCGCTACGCCACACTCGCCACTCCACACTCGCCACTCCACACTCGCCACACCGCGCCCGCCACTCCACGCTCGCCACACCACACACGGCCGTCACACCACACACAGCCGTCACACCACCTACCGCACACAAACACACCCCGACCACACAGCACGCACACCTGTCACACGACACCCCTGTCACACGACACACCTGTCACACGACACACACCTCTCGCACACAGTGACCGCCCACCACGCACACACACTGATCACACACTAACCACACACTAAACACGCCACACACACACACCTGTCACTCACCTGCCACACATGGCTGGCTGACGACGAGGACGATTGCGACGACCGCTATCTCGTTGCTGTGGATCGAGCGTCACGCTCGTCGGCTGCTGTACGGCAGCGCGGTTGTCACGGGTAAACAGATCTGTTTGCACGAGGCACCGCAGCGTCCGGAGATAGCGCTTGCATCCTGACCTCGCCCGCCGACGCGTCTCCCCTGATGTCCACGCGACGGAGCGACCGCTTCTGGTCTATTCCGCAATGGGCCTCCGCCCCCCCCCCCCCCCCCGAAACCTCCCTCGCTGTTTCCTCGGCTCTCCTAAAAAATGTTCCTTGTCAACCCCGCTGTGTCGGCGACCCACCTAGTTGCTTCCCCTGGCGGGTGGGTGGGTGAGTGAGTGAGCTGACGGGTGGATTAGTGAGTTGGTGGGTGAGTCGGTGGGTGTGTGGCAGGGTCGCTGTGTGGCTGGGGTGGCTGGCTGGGTGGGTGAGTGGCTGTTTGAGTGGCTGGCTGGGTGGGTGGCTAGCTCAGTGGACAGCTGGCTGGGTGGGTTGCTTCTTTCCTCTCGTTTCCTGACTCGGTCCGTCTCCCATTCCCTCCCGTGACCTCCCGTGTATTTCTGCGTTTGCTACGTTCTGTGGATGATATTTATCTACTTACTGCGGAGGGTCCAACTAAGTTTCTCAGTCGATGGGCGATGTCGCGACGTGGATTCCCAATCGAGCAGTGAATGGGTTTTTATTTTATTTTTATTCAACCAAATTCGACCGTGAAACCGGCACGCGTGCCCCCAACCCCTTTTAGAATTACCTGACGGGATCTTTAACGTGCACCGTGAATCAGAGGAGGGTGGGCGCGTCGTGGTGCGTTCATGGTTATTAAACCCGCCAGCATTAACCAGGGGTGGCCGTGGGGATTTGGAACCGCAAAGCCTCTGCAGCAAGCCACGGCTCGGCACGGTGCCACCGCCGTTGTCCTGACCGTCGGGGCGGATGTGCTGGAACCTTTTCACGCAAAACGAGGTGAAAACACCTTTTTTCGCCGAGACATGGCTGTGGGAAATGTTATCCCCCCCCACCCTCCGACCATCGATCGTTTATAAGCCAGCCGTGGATCTTTACACAAGGAAAGGCCCTGACATTAAGCTCTCTTCTTTTTTTTTGTCAAATTTGGCGGCCGCGGTACGGGGGAGGAAAGCAAAAAAAATATTATCACTAATTTGCGGAAAATAGTGGGGGTTGACGTGGGGTGTGGCACCTCACCGTACAGTAAGTAAATAATAGCCTCGCGTAAAAGCAAATCAAACAAAAATATTCATTTTCCAGAAAATGAATACACTTTTTAAATAACAGTTCTCATACACACACACGGGGCGACGTCTGCAGGGCTTCTTGATTTGTTCAATCGCGAAACAGTCGCCCGCAGGCGCCGGACGCACGTGCGGAAGAGCGAGCTTCAGAGACGGTTACTGCCCACCCAGCGCTCGCCACCCCCTCGCTCTCGCTGTCCCATCGGAGCCGCTACCCACAATGCACTTCGTCGGTGCGCCTGGGCCGGAGTGCCAAGCGGGGCTTTGGTCACATGATTAATTTTTTGTTTTATTGTAAACGAAGAGAGTTACTTAGGTCATGATAGTCGTTTTGCCCTTTGGAGGGCATTAGAAGTCTGCTTTCTAATTGTGTAGGCCATTTTTTGTAGATTAAACAAAAAAAACCGTTAACTAACTGTTTAAAAGTTTTCATTTAGAATTTGGGAAATGTTTCAAATTGAACATTTTCCTCGGCCGAGTGTTTCAGGGCCTTCTGTGCCCTTCTCTCACCGGACGTAGAGCGCGTGTGACGTACGTCCACTTTGCGATCGGGGGGGGGAAATAAAGGCAGCGCCTTTGAGGCCCCCACATCTCCAAGCGTTCACCCGAGGCTTGAATTTCCAGCTCGCGCGAGATTAAGGCGACGATTTGATTTCGATTTTTTTTCGTTGAAACTCCACGGCCGCGTGGTGGCGGGGTGAAAAAAAAAATCCCAGTTCTCCTGCGAGGAACCCGCAGCCTTTAGCCACGGTGACGGCATCCCAGTAGCGAGCCGGTGATTTGTCACCGATCGGTGGCGCGGTTCAATCCTTGGAAAGTTTTGATGGTCGTGGTTCCCCCCACCCGCCCCTCTGACTTTTTACCTTCGGTCTCCTACTCTCGCCGGTTTGGCCGCGCTCTCTTTGCCCGAACGCGGCATCGAGCGATGATTTGCACGTCATTTTCGCACGCCGTGAATGTTCGGGACGCCTCGTCGATGATTCGAATTGAATCACGCGACCAAAGCGCCGCTTGGCACTCCGGCGTTCGTTTTGGAGGTGTCCCGGGGTGGTTTAGAGGTCAGAACGCTGAGCAGGCACAGGCGAGGGCCTGCGTTTGAATCCAGGTTTCGGCCTGCTGAGATTTTATACCGGGTTCTCAAACGCAGGAAGTTCGTGGTCTCAAGCCGGTCACCCAGCGACTTGAGAATCGCAATTATCGCCTCAGCACTCGTGCGACGAAGCGTCAGCGTCAGGTTCAGTCGGGGAAACCGCTGCCTCCCAACACGTGAACCAGAGGTCACGTGATAGAGATGGCCATTTATGCGGGCTATTCTGTAGTTTGGGGAGTGGGGGGGGGGTATCAACACTGTTCTGCGAGCGATCGGAATGGCGAGCACATGGGCCGCAATTTCCTGCCACCAATGTCCTCTTTACGATATGGCGCTAGTGGGGGGAGGGGGAAGGGGGGGGGAGAGGGGGGGTCCCAAAGGATTTAGGGGGGGGGTGGGTGGGGGGGGGGGGCCTTGCCAGGTTTAATCTGGGCCAGCAGAGCTGCCGGGCAGCGGGAGCCTTGAGAGTCTTTACGAGGCCGTGAGCTGCCTCGTAAATAGCCACCGCTGCCGTCCCACGGGCATCTCTATCCTTTATTTATTTTTATGATGCGGGGGTCGAGCGGGAAGTGTGTGTGTGTGTGAGCGCGCCCGGGTGTGTGTGTGTGTGAGCGCGCCCGGGTGTGTGTGTGTGTGAGCGCGCCCGGGTGTGTGTGTGTGTGAGCGCGCCCGGGTGTGTGTGTGTGTGTGTGAGCGCGCCCGGGTGTGTTTGTGTGTGTGTGTGTGAGCGCGCCCGGGTGTGTGTGTGTGTGTGAGCGCGCCCGGGTGTGTGTGTGTGTGTGTGAGCGCGCCCGGGTGTGTGTGTGTGAGCGCGCGCGCACGCCGTGTTATATATGTGCATGCGTGCGTGTGTGGCCAGCATGAATAATCTTCCCACGCCGGTTCTGATGCATGGCCCTCTGAGCTCGCTCGCAGCGTAGGTCGCATCGCCTCCACCTCGCCACACCTCACAGCTACCCCTCCTCCCCGCCCTCCCTCCCGCCTGCAACACCTGGCAAGCCCCCGGTGCTCACCTGACCACATACGGATCCAGACTCAAACCCTGCTTAGCTTCTGACGAGATTGGGTGCCTTAAATATAATAATTGGTGACATTTGGAATTTGCTCCATTCCTGTAGCCCAAGGCTATCAAAACACCATTATGTTTCACAGACAGGTGTGTTGTTGTGTGCTAGTAGGGGGCCGTGTTTCTCGGTGGTTTTACCCAAGTAGGTATGTTGCAGGTAGTTGTTCAAATTTGGATCCTTCACGTCGGCGGTGCTAATGCTTCATCGTGAGTACCCCCTGCAGTGTGTAGCAGGGCGGCCGCTGGGCTCACGCCACACCTCTCCAGCGAGCGGTGATCGCGCTATCGCTGAGACCGCGTCACACCGAGTCACGCAGCGTCACGTGGCGTCACGCAGCGTCACACCGAGTCAAGCAGCGTCACACCGAGTCACACCGAGTCACACAGCGTCACGTGGCGTCACGCAGCGTCACACCGAGTCACACCAAGGCATGCAGCGTCACACCGCGTCAAGCAGCGTCACACCGAGTCAAGCAGCGTCACACCGAGTCACACAGCGTCGCACCACATCACGTGGTGTTGCGCAGCGTCACACCGAGTCACGCAGTGTCACGCAGTGTCACACCGCGTCACACCGCGTCACACTGAGTCACGCAGTTTCACACCGCATCACACAGCATCACACCGTGTCACACAGCATCACACCGTGTCACACAGCGTCACACCGAGTCATGCAGTGTCACATCGAGGCGTGCAGCCTCACACCGCGTCACGCAGCGTCACACCGCGTCACGCAGCGTCGCACCGAGTCGCACTGCGTCGCACCACATCACAGCATCACACCAATTAATTCCGCGACTCGGTGACACCCAGGCTGGGGGTGCCACCGAGCGTCCCACGTTGGCCACGACGTCCCGTCCCGCACGTTCCCCCACCCCCCCGTGCCGGGAGCTTCTTTTTCAGAACGCTTCACGAAACGTCGGACGACAACGTGCCGAACGGCGACGCGCGGGACAATCCGAGAAGCTCACCGGAGGGAGGCCCCGCAGGTCGAGGCGGCCAACGCAGACCGTGGTCGTGAACGCGTGTCCACTCCGCCCCTCCCCTCCCGGTCAGGTGACCCGGGCCTTCTCCTTCTCAAAGACGCCCAAGCAAGCGGCGCAGCGGGCCCGTGCGGGCAGCCCCCCACAGCCCGGTGACGGGGGCCGCTCCCCGGGGGGCTTGGAAGGACACAAGGATTGGTCGATGGGTCGCCGGCACACCAGCTCACTCACTCTTGCGGTGACTCACTCACTCGCGTTCACGGTGACTCACTCGCGTTCACGGTGACTCACTCACTCACTCATGGTGACTCACTCACTCATGGTGACTCACTCACTCATGGTGACTCACTCTCATGGTGACTCACTCACTCATGGTGACTCACTCACTCTCATGGTGACTCACTCACTCATGGTGACTCACTCACTCATGGTGACTCACTCACTCTCATGGTGACTCACTCACTCACGCAGTGACTCACTCACTCACTCTCATGGTGACTCACTCACGTGGTGACTCACTCACTCACTCTTATGGTGACTCACTCACTCTCGTGGTGGCTCACTCACTCTTGTGGTGACTCACACACTCACGCTCGTGATGACTCACTCACTCTCTCACGCGGTGACTCACTCACTCTCATGGTGACTCACTCACTCTCATGGTGACTCACTCACTCACACTCGTGGTGACTCACTCACTCACTCACGGGGTCACTCACTCACTCACTCTCTTGGTCACTCACTCTCATGGTGACTCACTCACTCACGGGGTGACTCACTCACTCACGCAGTGACTCACTCACTCACACTCGTGGTCACTCACTCTCATGGTGACTCACTCAGTCACTCACGTGGTGACTCACTCATTCACTCACGGGGTGACTCACTCACACTCGTGGTGACTCAATCACTCACACTCGTGGTGACTCAATCACTCACTCACGTGGTGACTCACTCACTCACACTCGTGGTGACTCAATCACTCACTCACGTGGTGACTCACTCACTCTCATGGTGACTCACTCACACTCGTGGTGACTCACTCACTCACTCTCATGGTGACTCACTCACTCTCATGGTGACTCACTCACTCACACTCGTGGTGACTCACTCACGTTCACGGTGACTCACTCACGCTCGTGATGACTCACTCTCGTGGTAACTCACTCACTCTCGCTCGTGATGACTCACTCACTGTCGTGGTGACTCACACACTCACGCTCGTGATGACTCACTCACGCTCTTGGTGACTCACTCACTCTTATGGTGACTCACTCACTCACGTGGTGACTCACTCACGCTCGTGGTGACTCACACTCGTGGTGACTCACACTCGTGGTGACTCACTCACTCACTCTCGTGGTGACTCACTCACTCTCGTGGTGACTCACCCTGATGGTGACTCACTCACACTCGTGGTGACTCACTTACCCTCATGGTGACTCATGCTCACTCCGCCTCCCTCCTCACTATCACCACCACCATCACCCACCCCTTACGCTTCACCACCCCTCCTCACCGCCGATTCTCACCATTACCCATCACCGCCACCACCACCCATCACCGCTGCCACCAACACAACACCACAACCCACTCCTCCTCCTCACCACCACCGGCTCCTCGGCGCCACCCCACCTCGTCGCCGCAACCGCACGCCTGCAACAGCTGGAAAGGCGCTGGTGGTGGTCGCAAAGAACGACCGGGCCGCCCACCTGCTTAGCTCCCGAGGCCTGACGAGATTGGGGCGCGTTCAGGGTGAATCGGTTCGATTGCCGCTCAAAGCCAACGCCGACGACAAATATCGGAACCAGTCCTGGACCCCTCCCCTAGGTCGACTGGGCCTTGAACCGGGTACGTCGGTGGCGGCGTGTTAACGTCAACGCTGGGGAGACAAAGGCGGCCGGGCGTGGTCTCGGCCACACCACCTGCTCGTGTGCCATGCCAGCCTTAATAGGTGCTCGCCAACAGCGCTTGCCCCAACGGGGGCACCTCTGGGTCCCTCTGTGGGAGCGAGTCGTAACAATTTGTTGTTCACTTCACAACCGCGCTACGAACGCCGTTGGCTCTACGGAAAAAAAAAAATTCACCCCCTGCCGGGATCGACGCGAATGAGCGATGATCGAACATCTCGGCGAAGGTGCGGCGGCGACGGCGGCGGCCCGTTTTTAGATTTACCGGGCGGCTCGCGCGTGCGAGGTGTGCGTGCCGTTTGAGGGTGGTTTCCGACACCGCGAAACGCTAACCTCTCGCTCCATCCATCCCCGGCCGCGAGCCGGCGCGTGACACACGTGCAGCGGGGAAGCAGGGGGCGGCGGTTGTGGGGGCGGCTGGGGAGCGAGGCGAGAGGCGTGGATGGACGGCTAGGGCGGACGGCGTGGCCGGCGGGGGGGGGGGGGGGTTGACGCCGCCGCCGCCGCGAGACCGCGAGGGCGGTGAAGACAATCTTGTAGTTGATTTGCGGTCGGATTGGATTCCATTAGGGAGGGGGATCTGATGTGAGCCCTGGCTGGGCTCACGTCTGGCAGTCGCGCTTCGGATCACGGAGGACTTGCAGGTCGGCGGAGGGGGGATTTTCTGAGACCGCGGGACCAGAAAATGAGTTTGGACTGGGCTTGTGTAAGTGTCATTCCGAGTTTGTCCCGTTTTACGGGAGCGTGCGATAGGGAAGAAAAAAATCTGTAAGAAATTCCAGGAGTTGGCTCTTCGGGTGGGCCGGAGGGGCAACGTCGCTTGCGGGTCTGTGCGGGCTGGCCGGGCCGTCTCCATACGGCTGGAGAGTCGGCGAGCGACGGTTTTGAGGTTTCGGTTGAACGCGTTGACTGGCAAGAGCCACGGTGAGGAGGACTCTCGCCGGTCGCGGTCGGGGGTGTGGGCTGTGACCGGTGCAGTCAGGACCAGCCGTCACGAGATTCGGTTCCAGATGAAGGAGATCAGTGCTGCCCCTGCCCGCCCTACTGTGTGGACCAAACGTCAATTGAAAGCTCCTCGGTGGTAGCTCGTTGTGGTGATATTTAGTAGCCCTGTGGTGATATTTGGTAGCTCTGTGGTGATATTTGGTAGCCTTGTGGTGATATTTGGTAGCTCTGTGGTGATATTTGGTAGCCCTGTGGTGATATTTGGTCGCTCTGTGGTGATATTTGGTAGCCCTGTGGTGATATTTGGTAACCCTGTGGTGATATTTGGTAGCCCTGTGGTGATATTTGGTAGCCCTGTGGTGATATTTGGTAGCTCTGTGGTGATATTTGGTAGCCCTGTGGTGATATTTGGTAGCCCTGTGGTGATATTTGAAACTCTGTGGTGATATTTGGTAGCCATGTGGTGATATTTGGTCGCTCTGTGGTGATATTTGGTAGCCCTGTGGTGATATTTGGTAACCCTGTGGTGATATTTGGTAGCCCTGTGGTGATATTTGGTAGCCCTGTGGTGATATTTGGTAGCTCTGTGGTGATATTTGGTAGCCCTGTGGTGATATTTGGTAGCCCTGTGGTGATATTTGAAACTCTGTGGTGATATTTGGTAGCCATGTGGTGATATTTGGTAGCCCTGTGGTGATATTTGGTAGTTCTGTGGTGATATTTGGTAGCCCTGTGGTGATATTTGGTAATCCTGTGGTGATATTTAGTAGCCCTGTGGTGATATTTGGTAGCTCTGTGCTGATATTTGAAGCTCTGTGGTGATATTTGGTAACTCTGTGGTGATATTTGGTAGCCCTGTGGTGATATTTGGTAGCCCTGTGGTGATATTTGGTAGCCTTGTGGTGATATTTGGTAGCCCTGTGGTGATATTTCGTAGCCCTGTGGTGATATTTGGTAGCCTTGTGGTGATATTTGGTAGCACTGTCGTGATATTTGGTAGCTCTGTGGTGATATTTGGTAACTATGTGGTGATATTTGGTAGCTCTGTGGTAATATTTGGTCACTCTGTGGTGATATTTGGTAACCGTTTTGTGATATTTTGTAGCCCTGTGGTGATATTTTGTAGCTCTGTGCTGATATTTGAAGCTCTGTGGTGATATTTGGTAGCTCTGTGGTGATATTTGGTAGCCCTGTGGTGATATTTGGTAGCACTGGTGATATTTGGTAGCTCTGGTGATATTTGGTAACTCTGTGGTGATATTTGGTAGCCCTGTGGTGATATTTGGTCGCTCTGTGGTGATATTTGGTAACTCTGTGGTGATATTTGGTAGCTCTGTGGTGATATTTGGTAGCCGTGTGGCGATATTTGGTAACCCTGTGGTGATATTTGGTAGCCCTGTGGTGATATTTGGTAGCCCTGTGGTGATATTTTGTAGCTCTGTGGTGATATTTGGTCGCTCTGTGGTGATATTTGGTAGCCCTGTGGTGATATTTGGTAGCCCTGTGGTGATATTTGGTAGCCCTGTGGTGATATTTGGTAGCTCTGTGGTTATATTTGGTCGCTCTGTGGTGATATTTGGTAGCCCTGTGGTGATATTTGGTAGCCCTGTGGTGATATTTGGTAACCCTGTGGTGATATTTGGTAGCCCTGTGGTGATATTTGGTAGCTCTGTGGTGATATTTGGTAGCCCTGTGGTGATATTTGGTAGCTCTGTGGTGATATTTGGTAGCCCTTTGGTGATTTTTGGTAACTCTGTGGGGATATTTGGTCGCTCCGTGGTGATATTTGGTAGCCTTGTGGTGATATTTGGTAGCTCTGTGGTGATATTTGGTAACTCTGTGGTGACATTTGAAGCTCTGGTAATATTTGGTAGCCCTGCGGTGATATTTCGTAGCTCTGGGGTGATATTTGGTAACTCTGTGGTGATATTTGGTAGCCCTGTGGTGATATTTGGTAACTCTGTGGTGATATTTGAAGCTCTGTGGTGATGTCTGGTCACTCTGTGGTGATATTTGGTAACCCTGTGGTGATATTTGGTAGCCCTGTGGTGATATTTGGTAGCTCTGTGCTGATATTTGAAGCTCTGTGGTGATATTTGGTAGCTCTGTGGTGATATTTGAAGCTCTGTGGGGATATTTGGTAGCCCTGTGGTGATATTTGGTAGCCCTGTGGTGATATTTGGTAGCCCTGTGGTGATATTTGGTAGCCTTGTGGTGATATTTGGTAGCCCTGTGGTGATATTTGGAAGCCCTGTGGTGATATTTGGTAGCACTGTCGTGATATTTGGTAGCTCTGTGGTAATATTTGGTCGCTCTGTGGTGATATTTGGTAACCCTGTGGGGATATTTGGTAGCCCTGTGGTGATATTTGGTAGCTCTGTGC